ACTTTATATTAGGCCTCCAACTAATTACCATTTAATTTTTTTTCTTCGCACCAATAAACTTTGTCCATTTTTTTTTAATTACTATATTTATAGTTATTTAAATTATTTATAATTTATTCTATTTACCTCGATTTGGCTCTGTTGAGCGAGGTACGAGACCGGTTAGCTAGTCCGTTTTTCATTTTTACTTTTTATTATCATGAGTGGTAATAATAAAACTAATTTTGACTGTTCATGGCAGTGATAAAATTTTGTACCACAAAGCATATTTTAAATAAATATATATATATATATATATATATATATATATATATATATATCAAGAAATGTATTGAGTAATTTTAAGGCAAAATAGAAATTTGCGTCAAGGTTCTACAAACGTATCACAATTCATGGAAGATTTTCTGTTATCAAAATGTGGGAGGTTTAAAATCAAAGATGTTTGAAACGAATATAGATGAATTTGGCTAGATTGGATAGCTTATTTCAAAAATTGTTTTAAAAAAATTTGAAACTACCAGCGTGTCTCGTTTAAGCGCAGGTGTCGTCACAGCGTCAAAGAACGCGTCTCAAACTTATACATTTTGTTTTACAATTTATCTCTCTCTCTCACCCTATCTATCTATCTATCTATCTATCTATCTCTCCCTCTCTCTCTCTCTCTCTCTCTCTATATATATATATATATATATATATATATATATATATATATATATATATATATATATATATATGTGTATGTGTGTGTGTGTGTATTGACATTGAGCCTTTAGTGTATTTTTATTTGTACGCACACATTATATATATATTGTTATGGTCCGGTTCCTTGTACCACGGTGATAGTCCAAGGTAGAACCAATAAAGAAGAACTCGAACACGGATATTGAATAACACAGATATATTACAAACAGGAATATATACAGAGAAGTAGAAAGTGTTAGTACGAACAATCAGGTTTAGTAGTAATTGTCTGAAGGCGACTCTGTTTCGGACTGCCTCTGACTCGACTGCCTCTGACTCGCTCGCTCTGACTGACAGACTCTTGACAGATTTCAGACTGAATAGTATTTAGTCACCACCCCCACGAGGGCATCATGTGGCACAAGGCCGGTTTAAAGTGGGATCTCCAAGGCCGTGGGCTCGGCCAAAAATATGCCCTTTGAACCCGTATAAACGGGTTCAGGTTCGGTTTACCTCCCCGAAAGAGACTCCGCCCTTCGGCGTAGCGTCGTTCGGGTTCCTTCCCGCCCGAAGGCAGAGAGTTCAACCGATCAGCCGGTCAGCCGGTCGCCCGACTTCGGACTGAACTCCCTGCTTCCTCTTGAGGCGCAGTATTTATTACGTATGGAATGGTCCATTGTGTTATTATGGGTAAGGTCCCATATATATATATATATATATATATATATATATTGTATTTAGGCAGCATTCTTTCATTAATGCATCTTCCGTTAAATAATATAGACAAGTTTTGTCAATTTATTTTAAGTAAATTCCTTTCATATTGTCGAATAAGCTTTTTAGTATTATCACAGAAAAACGAAAGAAAATCGCCATGTTGATACATGTTTTTATTGTTAATCCTGTCTAAGCTTTCGACTTACATAAACCATCATCAGAGATTTTTCCGTATTATTTAACGAAACACACACACACACACACACACACACACACATATATATATATATATATATATATATATATATATATATATATATACACGCACACACCATATACGGGGTGTATCAAAAATAATTTTGCAAACTTTGACGGTGGGTTCATCACGCCAAAAAAGACAATAGTCAATGAAAATATATGTCCACAAATCCTTCGTTTCTGGGTTATTAATTTTAAATTTTTACGGTAGATGTAAACTTAAAAATTAATATATGTCTATATCTCTCGGATGAGGTATTATGTACATTATTTACATTATTCGTACTATTGCCCTCATCTTTGTCGCAATATTTATCACAACGTTTCGGCCGTTGTACGCTCCGGTGTTCTTCAGGTAGTTGGAATGTCGAATCGAACCCTTAATTTCGCTCACTGGTGTAGACTGTTCTAGTTCCACGTGCCATGTTTGATGGATCTAAATTATCAGTTATTTCCTGTTAATTTTCCCTCTGAACGTTCTCCACTTCCTTAACCGGGTATTGAACTCACACTCTTAGTGTACAACGGCCGAAACGTTGTGATAAATATGGCGACAAAGATGAGGACAATAGTCCGAATAATGTAAATAATGTTTAAAATTAATGACTCAGAAACGAAGAATTTGTGGACATATGTTTTCATGGAATGTTGACCTTCGGTTGTGGGTTCCTCACACCAAAACTAATTAAAATCTCTGTGTAAACATGTACATAATGCATTTGATGTCCCTGAATACAGTAACATATGACAAATGTTCAAAATGTCTTCCACTTGCTTCAGCCCACACCCGTCAGATCATTGACTGGCGGACCCTTTCAAATACTCCTGCACGGTGCCGCATAGTTTTGCAGGTGCCCATATCACGCTGATAAAGTTTTTCTACATTCTTAAAGTCTGCTGCATAAAACAATTGTTTCACTTGGCTCCACAGGTAAAAATGCAATAGATTGATGTTGAAATAATGTGCCGGTCATAGAACCGTTCCTCAACTACCTATTCATTGTTTTTATGGTAGATATTCGCCAGTGCATCGTCGACAATAGGACTAAAATGTGCTGTAGCTCCACCATGCACGAACCACATGCATCCTTTCGTCGTCTTCTTCTATATCCTTCGTCGTCGTCATCGTCGTCTTCTATATGCATTCATCGTCGTCGTCGTCGTCTTCTATATGCTTTCATCATCATACTTCTATGTCCTTTCATCATTGTCATCTATATCCTTTCATAGTCGTCGTCTTCTATATCCTCTTCGCATTAATCGGTGTACTTCCTCTAGCAGGTCTGGAAGCGTGTTTGAAGTTCCTGTAAGACGTACTCCTTTAAGACGTTTAAGAGAATATATGGACCTGTGATACAGTCACTTATAATTCCAGACCATACATTAATTGCAAGCTGATGCCTGTTTCGAGTCTGAATTGTACCAAGAGGATTCCGAACAGTCCACAGTTGTTGGTGATTCCATCTCTTCCAAATGTTACCTCAAGTGACAAACAACGGATCGGCAATTTATGCAATAAACCATCGTCAAAAGTTCTCCCGTGGTGTGTAATCAGAGTATGAACGACCCTGCATACGTTGCAAATAAAACTTATAGAGGAGTTGCTCTTGACGTACCCTCCTTGCGGTACGAGGAGATGTACGCCATGCTAAGGCCACTTGACGTGTGCTGAGACCTCGATCGCCTCCGGCAATCTGTAGAATGTATTCATCGTGGTCAGGCGTAAGAGCAGGTCTGTCTTCCTCGACCCATAGTTTTAGGTGTCACTGTCTCAACAACGCGCGGATAAACAGCAACAAAGGTTGGATAACTTTGGTCTGAAAACGCAAGCTGATACAGCCGTGCATCCACGCGTCAAGTACAATTTGCGCAGCCGTATATACAAATTATTTCTGTCTATTCACGATATGAATATCCTGCTATTGCTAAACGAAACACTTCTTAGTTAAGTCAGTACTACATTAAACGCGGAAAAACACTAGCAGTAGGTTGCCATTTCTTTCCGCGGTACACTGGTTGCCAACCAAGACTAAAGAACCCAATCTGTCCTGCTATTCAACCCACAGCTGGGGGAGAAGATTCTGATTCATATCTTTCGAAGAGTTTTTGTGTGTAAGTGAATCTAAAGAACTGGACTGGAATTCAAGCATATGTAGTTCACTGTTTAAAAAACTGCGTCCATTCAAACATGGATATACAAATAAATAACAATAACATAGGAATTATGTATATATATATATATATATATATATATATATATATATATATATATATATGTGTGTGTGTGTGTGTGTGTGTGTGTGTGTGTGTGTATGGAAATATGTCATTCGTTTATTAGACATTAAATTACTTCACTTAGTATCCGCCATAGTTTACCTTGACTTTCAAAATTAGCCTGAAGAATATTTGTGGAGAGTTCTTAAATTTAAAACTTTGAAACCCAGCGATATTTTTTTTGTTACTTCTGTTTATAAATACATGCTGCAAAATCAAATTCTTGCATTAACCTTGATAAAATCCAGAGAGCAGAATGAGAGAGAGAGAGAGAGAGAGAGAGAGAGAGAGAGAGAGCGAGCGACCCGGAGGTAACAGTGAGGTCCTGTATTAAGGAAATACTTTCAGTCCTTCTTCTATTCCCCATTTATTAAATACGAGAGCCGAACAAATATGGACAATCAAACTGTATTGGAATTCTCCCCTGGAAAGTAATTTAGAGAATTTCAGGAATTTTGCTCGTGAATATGGAAATAATTCATGGATTAAGAAACATTTTAAAGAAATCATCATATCTTCCGTTGACCTTTCCATTCGCTATCTTCTGCTATCTTTGAACGGTAAATCTTGATTCCCTATAAAACGGATAATATGGAGAGATTGAATTTGCGAAATCCTTACTAAAATGAAGTTTGGAGAATACCACTTTCTTTTATTTGCCCACATAAGTAGCTTGTATTATTTACGCTATTCTTATTTCTCTTATGAATTCCTAGTCGTTTTACCTTTCTTATAAATTTATCTTCGTCTTGATCACTCTTTCGTCATCTTCTTGTTCATCTTTTCGTCGTCTTCTTGTTTATCCTTTCGTCGTTGTCTTCTATATCCTTTCATCGTCGTTTTCTATATTTTTTCGTCGTCGTCGTTGTCTTCTATATTCTTTCGTCGTTGTCGTCGTCTTCTATATCCTTTCATCGTTGTCTTCTATATCCTTTCATCGTCGTCTTGTATAACCTTTCGACGTCGTCGTCGTCGTCTTCTATAACATTTCGTCATCGGCGTCGTCTTCTATATCCTTTCGTCGTCGTCGTTTTCTATATGCTTTCATCGGCGTCGTCGTCGTTTTCTATATGTTTTCATCGCCGTCTTCTATATCCTTTCATCGTCGTCATCTATATCCTTTCGTCGTCTTCTTCTATATCCTTCGTCGTCTTCTATATGCTTTCATCATCATTCTTCTATGTCCTTTTTTCATCGTCTTCTATATCCTTTCATGGTCATCTTCAATATCCTTTCATCGTCGTCGTCGTCTTCTATATCCTTTCATCACCGTCGTCGTGTTCTATATCATTTCATCATCGTCTTGTACATCCTTTCATCGTCATCTTGTATATCCTTTGATCATCGTCTTCTATATCCTTTCATCGTCGACGTCGTCGTGTTCTATATGCTTTCATCATCGTCTTCTATATCCTTTCATCGTCGTCGTCGTCGTGTTCTATATGCTTTCATCATCGTCTTCTATATCCTTTCATCGTCGTCGTCTTCTATATCCTTTCATCTTCGTCGTCGTCGTGTTCTATATGCTTTCATCATCGTCTTCTACATCCTTTCGTCGTCGTCTTCTATATCCTATCGTCGTCGTCGTCTTCTTCTCTATCCTTTCGTCGTCGTCGTCGTCGTCGTCTTCTATATCCTTTCATCGCTGTTTTCTATATTCTTTCGTCGTCTTCTTCTATATCCTTTCATCGTCGTCGTCGTCTTCTATATCCTTTCATTATCGTCTTCTATATGCTTTCACCGGCGTCGTCGTCGTTTTCTATATCCTTTCATCGTCATTTTCTATATCCTTTCATCGTCATTTTCTATATCCTTTCATCGTCGTCGTCTTCTATATCCTTTCTTCTATATCCTTTCTGATTCGTTCATCATTCTTCATCACATTCTTCGTTTGCCATCTATCTACGTCTTCTTCTGTCATTTTGCCTTCCACCCCTTTTCCTCTTCTTTGTTTCTTCCTGGCTGTCTTCTTCTGCTGTCGCTTATCTTCTTATTGTCTTCTGTCATCATCCTTCTTCTTTTGGTATAACTCTTCACTTAACTTTCCTCATCTTCACTTGTCAACTTCTTGTTCACCTCCTCTTTCTTGGTGGTGTTCATCTTTCACCATTCCTCTCCCAGTTTTATCATTGTTATTCTTTTTTTTCTATCATCTTTCTCTTCTTTTTTGTTATCTTTCTTTTATCACTTTTCTTTTCTCTTTTGTCACCTTTATTCTTTCATCAATTTTCTTTGTCTTTATTTTTTTGTCATCTTTATTTTTTGACATTTTCTTTCTCTTCATTTTTAGTCATTTATCTTTTTTTTGACATTTTCTCCTCCTTTTGTTATCATATTTCTTCTTATTATTTTGTTCAGCTTTCTTCGTGGTCGTCGTGTTCTATATGCTTTCATCATCGTCTTCTATATCCTTTCATCGTCGTCGTCGTGTTCTTTATGCTTTCATCATCGTCTTCTACATCCTTTCATCGTCGTCTTCTATGTCCTTTCATCGTCGTCTTCTATGTCCTTTCATCGTCGTATCATTATTTTTTTTTTTACTTTTCCTCTTCATTTCTCATTTTCTTTCTCCCCCTCCTTTTCTTTTTGTTCTATTTCCGCCGTTCCCCTTCTTCTTTTTTCATGTTTCCTTTTCTTCTTGAAACTTCAAGAAGGTCTAAAATTTAAATATAATAAAAAAAAAGGGAGCTTTATTTATTTATTCAAGGAAAATTGCTATTAAGAATGTACGTGTTGCCTCAACATTCCAGCATCCTCGGATTTATTGAAAAATTCACAGAACAAATAAATCTAGTATTCAATTTGGTCATGGCAAGAGAAATATTCACCCGAAAGGAAGGGTTATGGCCTTGTTCAAACCAATCTCGCTGCAATTAGATGTGATCTAATTTGCTCTCAAATAGCGAACTTGTTAAGAATGGTCCACCACATAATCTTCCTAACAGTCGCTATATTGATGTTCCTTTATAGATATTTACTATCCTTAACAAAGTCTGACAAAAGACCACAAGTGAGAATTGAGCTTACTGTATTATTGTCCTACTGTAATGGAGTGGTTTGCAGTAGGTAGCTAAAACGAACTGACTGTATTTGGATTAGACTAGCCAAAGCCCACAAAAGTAAACGACCTATTAAATGAATCGAGAGATGTTATCTAATCTTCGCTATACGACAGGGATCCTATAGTTATAGCCAAAGCATACAGCAATATTGAAATTTACTCTGGCTTCTACATTCAGTCAAGAATCTAGCAAAACTTCACAGGTCTTAATGTATATCTTGGATAATTTCTTCTTTTTTTTTTAAATGCTTCTTTCTCTTTCAGCTTACCAAATTCTTCTAAAGCATTTCATATATTTTAGTTTTGATTTTCTTTAAATTTCTATCTAAAGATTTGCATCATTAAAGAAATATATATATATATATATATATATATATATATATATATATATATATATATATATATATATATTTCATTGAAAACGGCAGACAAGGTGCTTTTATTTATTGTTTTATACAATTTCTCAAGCGATCTAATATTTTTTTTCTTTTCGGATGATAAATTGTATAAAAAACTGTCCGAATGTTCTTTTTTATCCGAGCGCTTTCGGCTATACATTTAGCCATTTTCAAGGATTATATTATATTATAATTTAACTAAATAAAAGCGCCTTGTCTTTCGTTTTTTCAATGAAATGTGCCTGAAAGATGGATTGCTGCTTAAATACACACACACACACACACACACACACATATATATATATATATATATATATATATATATATATATATATATATAGATAGATAGATAGATAGATAGATAGATAGATGGAGTCAAAACACTATGCAAATGTAAAAATATTTTTTAATACCAGAAATATTTTTTTTAAGAAAAATGATTACTCGCAATACATTATTACAAAACATTACTAACTATACATTTAAAAAAACATTACCAGTAATATATTTTTTTAAAAAAGTTACTAGCAATAAAAATCATGTCGGCATTAAATGACCCATTATGGTTTAAATGCCGTAAAACAAAACAAGCCAACCTTGAGTCTCTGACAGGAGTAATTGTAACTCTAAGGCCGAACTCTTTTTTTTTCAATGCAGAATAAATAACTTTCCTATGCAGTCCCTCACCCTAACGACTATGTTTTAATATTAATTCAAATGTGGGTAGGGGATGCAAACATACCCAGATCAACCTATGTTAACCCCGCTCTCCCAAAGGATCTTTTAATCCTCATGTATATGAGTGAGCTTGCCTTGGTACCCTAGGTCTCTAGCCCGTACGATGTCTCAAGGAGTTCCAGGCAGACGAGACACAATCACTCGCCTGAATCTTTTCTGGGTTATTTGTTCCCTCATTAAGTATGCCGGAAGCAGATGTTTACAGGGTTTGGGCGTGATCCGCCTGATAGGTATCCGAGCCTTTGAGTACCTTCGAGGGAGGCTACCCTATCAGCAGGTGTATAGTACCGGGTTTAATGTACTGCCATATGGTAAGTGGTTTCTGGACCTTGCAGTAGTCTCTGACAGGGCATCTAAATGCCGTGATGATGGGTACTGTTACGGCAGTATCTTCCTGCGAGTCATCTGAGGTTATTTATGCGTACATCTTCAAAAGGGGGCTATCTCACTGCCTACTCGTCATCCAACAAACCAAGAAAAAAACATGAAAGTGATCAAATTGAAAACAAACAAATCTAGCAATCCCAACCTCAAGCGAAAAGTAAAGATAGGTCTGCCTTCTATACCAATGAGAAGAAGTAGAACTCCATCTTCATCAGGCTAAACATAACCACCTATTCCTGTCTAAAACCGGTATCAATTCCTCAATGTCATTTCAGAAACTCCCAATTCCCGGCTACTCACCCATTATAACAAAATGCAGTCATGTTACCAAAGAAATCCTCCCGTTTCGCAATACTTCGCCCAGCTTTTCGAATGCATCTTTGGCCATCCCAATATGTCTGCTGATCTCAGTGTCGCATTTACCGTCTTCTGTCGAGATGCTTCCCACTTATTTAAACTTCCGCGTCTGCTTGATTCTAGAGTTCCCGACCTTCAGATCGTATTTCGGGCTCATCCTTTTACTGATCACCATGAACTCCGTTTTCTTGCAGTTTATGCTTGGTCCCTTCTCACTCTCCATCGCTACCGTCTGTTGGATATTTTGTAATTTCTTTTCCGTTAGGTGTATAATATCGGGTCTATTGTACTGCCATTTTGTGAATGTATTCTGTACCATACAGTAGTCCCCGGTGGGGCCTCTCGATGCCATTATCATGGGTACTGTTGCGGCAATATCTCCGGATGAGTCAAGCCAGGTTATTTATACGTTCATCTCCAATGGATTTATGTCTCACTGCCTACTAATCATCGATTAGTCACACAATTCTCTATCGTTACTTCCATGGAAAGTACTCGGACGAATTCCATTCCTCGGTTAGAGCATGTCCAACCAACACGGCTAGGACTAGCCACATTCGCTCCGTATTCAATCGGCGAGAAGTAAGTTCTGCTCAAACAGCTTCTTCCTTCGAATCACTTCTATAGAAAAGACTCGTAAGAGGATGCTTCCTCGATCAATACAATCTTAACCTTTTTAGGTCTTATCTTTCTCTTGTATCATTATAAACTACCCCTTAATGTAACCTTTTACCTTTTCAAGTTTAGACTTAACTGTTAGCATCCTCTTGTATCCTTATAAACTACCCCTTAATGTAACCTTTTACCTTTTCAAGTTTAGACTTAACTGTTAGCATCCTCTTGTATCCTTATAAACTACCCCTTAATGTAACCTTTTACCTTTTCAAGTTTAGACTTAACTGTTAGCATCCTCTTGTATCCTTATAAACTACCCCTTAATGTAACCTTTTACCATTTCAAGTTTAGACTTAACTGTTATCATCCTCTTGTATCCTTATAAACCACTCCTTAATGTAACCCTCTACCTCATACAGGCTCTTGTACAGAGTGAACCTACTATAAAAAAGAAGATTAAACTGGCACTGAGCTATATTATTTGAGTCATCGAATGAGGAACGGACTGACTGCACGTTCAATGACTTATTTTCCAAATATCACACTATCGCATGAGACCAAACATTCACTCTTTAAGCATGTTAGTATTGGGGATAAGTAAAAAATATAATCCGGTCTTTCGATATTATGTATATATTTACGTTTGCCACACTGCTTTCTGCTTATGCGTAATTATAGTTGGTATTATTGTGGTCATGTGATCGAGGTTTGTTCTTGACGGCGGCAGTTTTCTTGCTTCTGTTACGATATAAACATGGCCGCTCAGGAAAGAAAAAGACGACCGTAAATATAAGTTACTTATTGGCAACGTCAAAACCAAAGCAAGTACAAAAATATAACTCACTGGTTATTTGTCAATAGATGACGTAAAAAGTAACATAGAAATATATCTTCCAGAAATTAAGCAAGGTATTAAAACACAGGAAAACTTTTTTTTTTTTTTTCTAAACAAATAAGAGTGTTGAACTGCTATATAATATCTAATCGTCTGTTTATAGATTGTCTATTGAGTACTGGAGAGTCTCATCACAGATGAAGAGACTTGAAATGTGAGAGATGTGGTTTTACAGAATAAGGCTATGACTACTATGGACAAAGAATGTTGATAATTAGGAAATTTTAAAGAGAACGAGGACGGGAGGGAAACGTACATTTACAATTAGAAAGAGACGGTTGAAATTTCTGGAACATCTTATGCCGAAAGAAAGCCTGGAAAATATAACACTCACAACGCATACGTAAGGCAAACGAAAGGAAAGCGTGGGTAACCAACTTAATGAGTATGAGTATATAGATAACAGATCAAGGACATAGGGATGGTATAATATATTATTTAGAGCAACCTATGAAAGGAAAATGTGAAGAGTCATGATTACCACATGCTTAAGAGAGATGGGATATGAAAGACGTAGTAGTGTACTCCCCGTGAGTTTAGAACCCATTACAGCAGTATTTGACTATAGAAATAGTTTGCCAACCATCGTTAGTTTGTCAAAAGGTTACGATATTAAACTGCAGTACTGTTAATGAGCAATTTTGTTGGCAGTAAGGACTGTTCGGGGGCGCGTAAAATTCTGGTTGTTGTTTAAATTCTGCTTTGCTAATGGCGAGTGACATTTACGGTATCCAAAAGATATATTTATCTGTCAAACTATAGGTTGTTGGGAAACAATAACTTAAGATAATGATGGTTTAGAAAAGGAACAAGCAATGGACAATCTTCGGATGTTTAAAGTGTAAAATCAATGCGTCAGCTCACACTCTCCACTGAAGTACAACAGGTTCATTAGTCAACGTCTGTTTGTTCTTACCTCCGAGCCAGTGAATTTCAGGAGACCAAAATTAAGCTATTTCTCAGAGGTAAATTATCTTACCAATTTCTTTTGAAACAACAAGGTTTCTCCTCATTATTTATGCATTCAACGATCGACAGGAGCCATAACGATGAAATATTGTTGACCCTATTTAAAGAAAATCCGATTTTAGAAGCGCAATAAAATTTGATTTTTACTGGATTCTCATTTCGTGGAGAATAAATCTAGTCTGCCTCGTCTGATGCGGCTTCTCGCAGTTTAACGTGAAAATATTA